GTATTGTTTTCAAAATAATAATAAAAATTATTTATACTATAATCTTTATGAACTTATGTGTATTTTATTCTAATAGTCAATATTATAAAAACTAAAAAAAAATATATTGCATTTTTTTTATTAATTTCTTTATTTTAGACATGTTTTTTGATTTATTATTAAATAATTTTATTGTATTTATTCTATTAGACAAGCTTACTTAAATATAAACTAATAAGTATTTTAAATCCAAACATTTTTACAATACAGATTATTTCACTTGACAAATAATAATTTATTAACAATTTTAGATAATAAATAGGTTTTTTTAGATGTAATATAATTTTTAGTATCTGAAAATAGTCATTTACTTAAAACAGATATAGCAGAAATTGATAAGTATTTCTATACTATTTGGTTTAATATAAAAAAAATATATTTGTTAATATTCTACTAATCATAAACATTTGTGATATTAAATAGATTTGGTGTAATCTTTTTGTTCAAATAATTATTAATTTTATTTTTTTAGTTTACTCAACTTTAACTATAGTTAAATATTTTTTTTATAAAGCTAGGTGTGAATAAAGATATTTTATTATTAGTATTTTCTACTAATTTATTAGATATAATAATATTTTGTCAAACTTTAAATTTGACATATAAATTATTAATTGTATTATTTTACATTTCATTTAATTACACTAATATTAATTTTAGTCAAAAATCTAATAAAATAACAATTAATTTAATATCTTCTAAATTATGCCAATAATGTTTAAAAAAATTATAAAAAGTTCTTTGAACTTGTAAAATTATTTTTTTTATTAAAAAGTAGTAGTTAGGCATTTGTATTATTTGAGCTATAACTATCATTTTCAGATAATTTGTTTTAAGTATTAATATTTAATATTATAAAAAAAAAACTTAAAGTATTAATATTAATATTATAAAGAAAAGATAATTGTTTATTTTATTTTATTTTTAATATAAAGTACACTAATCTCAATCTATCTATTATTAATATATTGTAATTAGTAAATTCAAAGTTTAATAATTCAATTATTAGATTAATAACTAAAAGTGTAGTATATTTGATATTACTAAGATAAGTTGTTAGCTTATCAAATAGCTTAAACATATTTATTAGTTCTTGCAACAATGCTTACTTATTATTTTCCAACATAAAATAGTTTAATTTATTTAAGTCTTTTTTAATATTTATTTTATCTTCTAAATATAGAATAATAGTAAGCCTTTTGCTTGCTGAACACAATTTTATGAGCCTTTGCTAAGATTTGTAGATGAAGTTCTATCTAGTTTTATATTACTAATAATGTATAACACTTTTAAATTTTGTTTTAGATATTTATTATCTTCTGTTTTAGATAGTAAGTTTTTACTAAAATTATATAATTGAACTAGAGCCAAGATGAATTTACTATATTGAACTAATTTAATGTGCATTTGGTTAAGATATTAATTTTATTTAAACAATTTAAAAAATTTAATAAATTTATTAACTCTTAATATATAGTTTTATAATTTTTAGAGCATAAATAACTGTAAGCAAACAATATATTTTATATTACTACAAATTCTAATGGCTTTTTTTATATTTACTTTATTATCTGTAATAGTACTAATTATTTCTTTAATTAATCCAAATTTTTAAATCTTTTGATTTAGATATTTTTTAATTCTTTTATTATTGTGTAGATGATCTATTTTTTTAATAACTAAAATAATATTAAAAACTTTAAAATTTGAAGTTAGCCAATAGATAGTAATACTAATATACTTATTATTATTTTTAGATATTCATAGATCAGTTGTGATCAAGACAGTTTTACAAGTAATATAAAATAATTCTTTTAATTCTAATATACTTTTATAGTAAGCTATGCTAAGTTGTTTTTTAATACTTTTTATTATTTGGTAATTTGAATGTAGAATAATATCTTTTATTATTTTTTATAACCTTTTTTATAAATAACATTAAAGAGGTTTACATAAAAACAGCTATCTAAACCACTTTGGTAGATCTAAGTAAAAAAGAAGAGCATCTAAAAAAGATATAAGAAAAGAAAAAACAGCTAAAAATAAACTAATTAACAAAAAGAAACAAGAAAAAACAAAAATTTTCTTTAAGAAAATACTCAAAAAACAAAATTTTGGAAAATTGGCATTAATCCTATATTGCAGATCTGTTTTGATCATGAGAATGTAAACAAGCAAACAAACAATTACATGCAAATCAAGCAAAATATACATGTATACAACTCAAAATAAAAATATAAATATATTAGAAGAATGTGATGACAGCCTAATAACAATATATATTAAAAGAGCATACTGGACTATTAACAGTATGCACAATAAAGTATTTCTTAAACAAGCAAGTAAAATATATATTACATCTAATAGAGAAAACAAAATCATCACTATACTAACAAAACAGAATCTAAATAAGGTTGAACTATTGAGATTGACAAGAAAGTTAATAGAAAAAGCAGAGAAAGAGCAACCAGAAAGAAGTTGAGCATAGTAGAACAAAGTAACTATGCAATAATAATAGAACCTATCTTAGAACAAACAGATAATATATCAAAAGAGTAACATTAACTAATGAAAATAGAAATAATTCAAGAGATTAGACAAGGGTCAGTAGTAAAAATAGATATAGAAAAAAGCAGACAATATAATGAAAAGATACAAAAAACTAGCTTAGCAGTTAAATAAGAAAAAATTGCAAAGATAAGTTTTAATAACTGGAATAGTGAAATGAAAACAAAGCAATTCTTATAAAATTAAAAAGAAAATAGAAGAACATAAACAAAAAAGTGCAGATGCAAATAGAAAAGAATCAAAACACAATATAGCAACAAAAGAAACAGAAAAACAATACAAAATAAAATAAAAAATTAAAAAAGAAATCAACATAGTAAAAGAACTATTAAAGAAGAGTATGTGGAACTAAGTAAAAAAAATTGCAACCATCATAACAACTTACTTGCCAACATATTAGCATATAATATGCTAAGGACAACAAAAAAAAATATATAAAATTTATTAAATGGTTACTAAAAAATAATAACCATGTTGAAGTTATTAAAAAAGTCTTCAAAAGAGGTAACTTGTAAATAGAGGTAGACTTTGATTGTGAATATAGAAAAAATGAAGCAATTCAAAGAATTAGCAGAAAAGAAAATGATTGGTATAAACTAATACCAGACAAGAAAGAAGACAGAAAAGAAAAACAAAGATTACACAATAAAGAATACCAAAAAAGAAGAAATAGCACAACAAAAAATAAAGAAAAGATATATAACAAGAAAGAAAACAAAATTAAAGAAGACTTAAATAGCTACAAGATGAATGAGAAGTCCAATGACAAAGCATAATAATAATATAGAACTTGTCAACAGATATTAATAAAAGGAAATTAGAATATATTTATAAAAGATTTAAAAATTCCTAAATAGTAAGAATCAAAAAATCAAAGTACAAAGCATTAGCAATAGTGCAGATAGAAGAAGCCAAAAAAAAACATTCTATAGGCTATATCAGTTAATAATGATAAACTAGTATAAATAACTAGAAGAAAAGAAAACTATGAAGCAAAAGAAAATCAGAAAAAATATATAGCAAAGCTAACAGAATTACTCAAAAATGTCTCAGAAGTCTTACTGCTGTAATGCCTAAAAAGCAAAAGTGTAAAGTCAGTTTACATTTCTTCAAATACAAATAGAAACCAAAAACAAATAGCAATAGTCATATTTGTAACAGAAAAAGACATGAATGCAGCCCAAATGAAACTAATTTTGTATAACAAATTTAGAGTTTATTGAGTAAATAAAGGAAAAAAAGAAACAAAAAAAAAGAAAAAGTCTTAAAATAGAAAAAAAAAGAAGTTAAGACAAATTTAGCCAGATCTTAAATGCAAAAGATGATAAAAATAGCAAAGAAAGACAAAGAAATAAGACTTACTTAAACAAGAATAGAAACAGAACTAGTGTAAATCATAAAGATACTTTACTAAAAGAAAGAAGCAAACCTCAAAATCAATATAGAAGAAACTAAGCAAGAGACATAAACACAAAAAAGGAAAAAGAAGAGGATTTCAAAAGAAAATCAGAAGAATTCAAAACACAAAGACAAGAAAGAGAGCCATGTGTAGAGAATATTTTAGAGCAAATTTGGAAAAACTAAAAAGACTAAAAGAGACAAAAGATATAGCTAAGAAAGATCTAACTAATTGCTCCTAAGAGCACCCTAGTTGAACTTATAAACATGAATAAGGAAATTGGAAATTTTCTGCACAGTAAGAGAAGAGCCTTTGAAGGAAAAAATAAAGACAAATCTCCTAATCCAAAAGAAGAAAAGAAAAAAAAAAAAAGCAAAAAACACAGAGACAAAATACAAGAGTTTAAAAGAAAAATACAAAGAAAAAAAAAAAGAAATTAAAATTGCATATCACAATATTAATGAACTTAAGACCAAAGATTGGAAATTAAAAAACCTGCTAGGCTAAGCAGAAAAAAAAGAAATAGCATTTTTGAGCATGACAGCAACAAATATTATAGAAAAAAAAAGAGAAAATCCTGTTACTTAATCTTAATACAAAATTTAAAGGTTATTGGACAAGTGCAGTATTGAACAAGAAAAAAGGATCAGGTATTAGGATTTTAATAGATAAAATCTAGAAAAAACATGTCAAAGAAGTTAAAAGATTTAGTAAATTATAATAGAAGTAAAGCTATATTTCAAAGAATTAGTACTATACTGCAATTAGAAAGTTTTGACCTACAGCTAACTCTCTCTCAAATAATGCAGCTCAAATGTCAGATTGGTTAGATTTGCAAAAAGAAAAGGATTTCTGGTGAGTTATAGCAAGAGGATGGAATGATGACAATGTACTTACCCATCTAATTTGAATGACACCAGAACAAGTGAAAAATTGAATCCAATTTAGTGACTATGTAATTAATAATATAACTCATAAGACCAATTAGTATAGAATGGCTTTGTCACTTTTTGTAGAGTTTAATCAAAATAGGCAAAATATTTTGCTTGCACAAGGTCTGCTCATGGATGAAAGTTTAGATTCTCATGCTTGGATGTTCAAGCAAATTATAAAAGCTACTAATATACAGCCAACTGTAATTTTAACTGATTCTGATCTAGCTGTTAATGCTGCAATAAGGAAAGTGTTTCAAACTACATACCCAATTCATTGTGTATTTTATATTATGCAGAACATTCACAAAAATCTTTACAAGCAACTTGGAAATCAGTATGAGAAGTTTTTTTATGACTTTTACAATTGCAAAAATAGTTTTGTTCAGGAAACATTTCAAAATCACTTTATAAAACTTTTAGAAAATTATTCAAGTGGAAAACACTATCTAGAAGTTCTCTATAAATCTAAAGAATATTGGGCACATTTGTATAAGGCATTTAAATTTACTAGGGGAATGATTTTTACATCTCATGTTGAAGCTATGAATGCATGTCTTAAAAAATTATTATACAATTCTAATGTTTCTCTTTGTGAGCTTATGTTTGAGATTCATAGATTGCTTGATCAACAAGACAAACAAAATTGTTATCAACACTGAAAGCTTGCTATACTATCATTCAAAAACCTTAAGCATACAAATTTTTTATTTATAAAAGTAGATAAATGTTGTCAAGAATTTTTAATATCTGAAATTCTAAATATGCAACATGATGAAATCAATCAATCACTTTATTATGTTGCATATTTGGTTAATAAGCAAGATGTACTGTTTTCTAAAGATCTCAATGCTACTCTTTCCAATGATGAAAATCAAAGTGCCAATGATCTACATGCCACTATACATCAGTTATTAGGTGTTGTTGACTTTGATAATATTAATGAAATATGGAGTATTAGGGTTGGGAACTCTTTAAGTATTAAGTATTACATTGTTCTTTTGAAAAATGATGCCTATTTGTGCTCATGTCTCATGGCTATTTGACAAGGAATTATTTGTCAGCATTATTTTTAGGTAATGTTGACTATAAGTAATGCCAGGTTCTATATATAGCTTATCCTGTTTTGCTAGTATTAAGAAGACAAAAATACATCAAACAAACCTTTTATTGTTGCTGATAAATTCTATGATGATTCAATTAACTTGTTACAAGAGAACATATCATTCAATTATATATGCACTATTAATAATACTAACAATAACAGTAAACTGTGAATGAATATCTTAGAGCAAAGATTTATATATAGACATCTTCATGATGCATACAAGATAGCTTTACAAAAAGCATTATCATCTAAGTCAAAATCATGTTTCATCAAAATTTTACAAGAATTTACTGATAAAGATGATGAGCTTTCTAATAGATCCTCTGATGAAGAATATAGTCAAGATAACTCTTCAAGTGATAAGAAAAATGGTAGTATTAGTTTACAAAATCTAAAAAAGCAACATAACAGAAGAAGACCACTAGGTACAAAATGTTTTAAAGCATCTTATAAAAATCAAGTTAATGAAAGACCAAAAAGGAGATGCAAAAAATATAATAATCTAAGACATTATCAAAAGAATTGTAATGCTTAAGACTTATATTTGTATAAGTAATTGATACAATTGATATGCTTATTTTATGCCTTTAATCTTATCTGATTTTTATTTTTAGTATGTCTCTTAATACTAACTTAGTTGTAATTTTATAAGGTAATTAACAATAATTTATATAGGTTATTATTAAGAACATTGTAATGCCTAAGTTTATATATTAGTATTGGTCGTCTCATTAAGCGTGATACACCAACTTGATACATTTAAATTAAAATGTAATTATACAAAATTTTACATATTAACTTGCAATTAAATAAATAT